TACTAAGTATCCTCGTAAATATACCTATAAATGAATATGAAAATATGTTAAATCTTACAATAAGAAAAACAACAAGAACATGATAATAAATAGCAATACATACCTAAATAGCGTAATACACACGCTTACCTAGTACTTTTCATACAAAGTGCTTAGCATCTCGACAAGTGGCCCAATAATAAATGGACATATTGGTGCATTTATTATTGGGCTAGGCTGACAATGATGTGTTGATAATGTAACCTACCTTTGTGATTATCAACACAGGAGATACGTCCCCACTCAAATGGAACGCCGGACTTGAAGGGGTCCATCAGCAACAAGCCCTGCTTAGCTGGTGGGCCCTAGAAAGTCTGGCTGTTGACCTGCGCTCGAATTGACCAGAAATGTTTCCCCACTGGATTGCCATTTGCTGATTTTCCTTCTAGGAGTGAAAGGCTGAATGCACTCTACTAACCAATTATGTATGCATGTATGAATGACTTCTTTCTTAGATGTAGTAGAACAGTCATCCGCTGCTTTCAGCAATGACTACTTTGGCTCTCTTTATTTATTAACCGGTTCCCGCACTTCTTTTGCTTACTTTGTTTTTATTTTCAATTTTCCTAGCTGGGAGTGCCGCGACTTATCCTTTTTTATTTTTGTCTGGTGTTAACGTAAGGTGCTGTGAGTCGCTGGGCTGAGGGTGGGGGCACTCCTGGTCACCTAATAATGGGTGGCGGAGTAGTTCGAAAAAAAGGGCGTAGTAGGTAGAGAGAAAATACCGTATCATTAAAAATCTGTGAGCTTGATAAAAGTGTTGGTCTTGTCTTCACCCAAGAAGTTCTTATTGCACACTTTAACCATGGATGAAAGAACCTTCATCCCCTGGTTCTCCTTCATCCATGCTTTAACTCTCGATCGACGTGTGAAGTTATCGTGTAAGGTATCATGAAGCCGATCGCGACGAAACTTTAGTACCCTCATGGTGACAAAGTCTGAAAATTTCATGACCCTGACCCAAGTGAACTTTGACTTGTGGCCTATTTCTCGAGACTGTTTGGCCATGTTGGAGGCCATGTTTGGCCGGAATAGCGATTCGGCGTATGTCGGCTCACATTATCCGCGCTTTTATAGTCTTTTCGTGGTTTAAAACGCTCAAACATGTGATATGATGCTGCTCCCACGCATTAGGGCGGATGCCAATGTCACCTTACGGTCAAGTCAGGTCATTGACCTTTGATGACCTCGGTGCACTTTTCCGAGTTTAACATGTTTCTAGGATAGTTTCGTTTAGCTGATTTTGAATTTAGCATTTTGCAGCCATTTGAACATTTACGAAGTAGTTTTGATGCCTTCGTATCATGTTACGTAGCTGCCAGTGGTAGTGGACACCTGCTATACGGACGCCCATAAGTACTCCTACTGGTTGATCTGACCTGACCTGCCCCGACATGGTCTAAACGCATGAAGACATTATCTATGATCCAAACTAACATGAAATTTGTGATCAGCACAAAAAAAACGTATTACAGCCTTACTTTAGGAGGTTCTGACAGGTCCTGATTTTCCCGTCTTTTGGGTCTGTGACCTGACCTGGGCGGTGTTTCACGGCACGCTGCCAGCCGCTGCCAGCGCTGATGGCACTTTTGGTTTCAATGGAGACATCAACAAGCCTATACCCACAACACTACCGAAGGCTGACCTTAGCTCGCGGAATGCGCTGTCAGCGGCTGTCAGCACGACCGTGAAACACCGCCCTGGAAGGTCAACCAATGACCAAGGACCTTAACCCTCGCCCGCACATGGGGGGGGGGGGGGTGGTTGCCACCCCCCCAGGCAGTCTTTCTGCTCTGCACTCAACATTTTTAGAGCTAGAAGGCTGATTTTTCGTATAGCTGCTCGTCCATCCTTTCTTGATGTCCACTGAAAATTTCAAGTTTCTGTGCTTTTTGGTTTCGGAGATATGACCTTGTTTTTCAGGTCATGTCATGACCCAAATGGCCAATTCTCAACATCTTGCGTTTGCCATGGGCCTTGTGAGCTTTTGACACCCTGATTTCGGCCTTTTTTGCCAGTCTTACCTCCCACCTATCATGGAACATGTTGTTCGATGATGTACAGGGGTCAAGGTCAGGGTCAAGGTCAACCTAGGTCATCTAAAATAATTGCGTTTTAGGCAAGCTGAATTTACTTTTTGTGAAGTTTTTTGACTGCATTTTTGGTAAAAGCTTCTCAGATCATGATTTCATGTGATATGGACCCAAAAACAATCGGTGCACACATCAGTATACACACAGACACACACAGACATACAAACACATATAATTGACCTTGACCTAACTTGACCTGAAATGACCTCAGCAGCAAAATTCTGGTCGGATAGTGTGACAAAGAGGTTCTAGCTGGCTTGGCACCAGAAAACAGCATCGACATCGGTATTTGATAAGCAGCGCACTTGATATCCAACGGTGACCCAAAACAGCAACATTTTTTAGTTTGACCTGACCTGGAAGGTCAATGACTGACCTGAGAAGGTAAAACTGGGTATCATTGGATTCGTCTCTTCCCAAAGAATCTTTTTGGTCTTTACTGCTAAGCTCTATCTCCAACGGGAACGAAATGGCGCGGGGGGGGGGGTGGCAACCACCCCCCCCCCCATGTGCGTTCTAGGATGGGAAAATGGCATGTGCGGGCGAGGGTTAAAATCGGGTATCATCGGCTTCGTCTCGTCACTCACGGGCAACACGCCTGCTTTTTTTTCCGCGAGCTCTAAATCAGGGGCCGAACGGCAGGGGGTCCAACCGACACCTCCCAGCCCGCGAAGGCTGCGCCACGCACCGACCCGGAGCGGGCTAATTGGTCGACAAAAGCAATTTGAAGTGTTTTCAAAGTAATATTTAGGCTCGGGTTGGGTGGGCTACCATTTCTATTTTTTATTTTTAGTTTAAAAAAAATATCGTTTCAGGGCTGTGACGAAAAAATAAGTGGCCTAAATCCGATGAGAAAACAGGATTTGGGGGTACCCTAGGTTTGGTTACTTGCAGGAGTTGGCCCCCCCCCCAAAACGCAAGTCTGGATCCGCCAGTGTCTCCGTGAGCGCCAAATGAGAATTAACAGACTATCTAATCCCTAAAAAACGGTCGGAATTCTCTGATCGACACGAAAATAAACATCTGTAATGTCCAATATCTCACGATAAAGAGCCAAACGACAACGAAGTCGATGAAAGCTCTCTGCATAAGCCGCATTGTTTATTCACAGTCTCTCTCATATCGGGTCCACCAAATGCACGGTCATTGTGCCGTTCGCGCCATTGAGCATATTTGTTTATCTGTGTGCTGATGCTAAGGAGGATTAAAAGTCTATTGTTCACCGACATAAGGAGAATGGGACGATCAGCTACCTAAGTAACGGTCTAATTGAAAATCTGTAGGTAGTTTGGCGTACGGGACAATATAATGAAAATATCAACTGCTCCCAACAGTTTCAGCTAGTACTCAACTGTTCCCGGCCGTTCCAGCGGTTGATCCAACTGCTCTCGGTAATGATGAGACTTCAACCAGTATCACATGTTCCACCTGCCTTATGCATTCATCCATACACACACAGGTCACATTTCAACAATGCTCCACTCTTCCCCCCCCCCCACTCCCCAGCATCTCGTCAGCTCTCGCCTTCTCCTACCATCGACCAGTGACTACGATCACTCAGGCCGCCCTCATCGCCGACAGCGAACGCCGCTTTTTCGCCACCTGACAGCGCCGGCGGCCAGCAGACGCCGCGGTGCCGCGGGCTATCGGTCACCGGTTCACGACCCTCCCACTGTCCACCAATCACCGGCCGCCTGGCGCGATGACCGCCTCCTGATTGGTCCCTGATGAGCGCCGCTTACCAACGCGACCCCGATGACGTCATTCAACGGTGATTGTGCCGCGAGCGATTTGAGTGTCTGGATGAGAATAGCGCCGGTTAATGAGATTAATCTTGCTAAGTGGAGTTGAATTAGTGAATTGATTGGTTTGAGAGAGGCTTGTTGGGTGAAGTTATGACCATGTTTCACTGGGTAAAGGCAGCTTCAGCCGTGATAGAATGGGCTGTCAGCAACATAAACCTCTATGAAGATGTGTTTGATCCACTTAAATCACACTGTGATGTGAATTGCATTCGTCCCTTTTCCATCCCCTCGCGAACATGCGACGTGTTGTTCGCTGTAAGTTAGCCAACGAAAACAAGCAAATAAACGTTAACACCTCCAAACACCAATTAGGGAACGTCAAGCAAAAAAAAAAAAAAAAAAGACCAAGGAGGCATCTCAGAACGTAAAGCATTTATTATACGGCTTTTAGGTGACACAACTCAAATCATTCATTACTCAGCCAGATGCTACTGAAACCTTTTATGGCGATAACTTGTAACTTTATGACTGAGCATACCGATTACACAGCCTCCATTGGTCAAGGTGAATGAAGTACCTATACCGTGCCTAACTTAGCCATCGGTCCCGCAGTTCTTATTCGTCCCGCTAGATGTCACGCCTGCATGGCGCCTGCAGCATGCTGTGCCGCATGGCAGCGCTTCCTATCCCAGTAAGGCGGCTAATAGCGCAGGATTAGTGAACAGATAGTGCTTAGCGAAAGTTGGGTAAACAGATCGCCTCGCAAACGTGTTATATCAATAGCTTAATTGTGTCGGTAGATTATCACTTTTCACGTCCTTCGGACTGAAATAAATGTAATTACGCAGAGATATGCGTATAATTGGGGTGCGATGTCTCGCATGACAGTTTGACTGCTAGTACAAAGATAGTCATGTCCGAGCAAAACGGCTTAGAACTGCACGCTACTCAAGAAAAAGAAAGGTCAAAATCGTTCTCCATTTGTGTTTTTTTTTCGAATGTATCACATCCAGCTGATGAACTGATTAGCCAACAAGCAATCAAAGTGCACCTTCCATGCATTTTTTTACTTCTTGCACTGTCCGACATCCCTAGCTTCCAACTCCAGCACACAGACCGTATGTCAGAATATATGCAATATATATTTCATCACGCATTCTGTGCATGCCGTCACACGTCCTCAGCCGGCCGTGACGGCGTGTGACGACCGTTACCAGGCGGCGTCCGTCTCATAGTCGATAAACTGAATAACAGCGAGAGAAGCACTCAAATCAACAGCTTTCGCCAAACATCGATGGTCCAAAATATATCAGCCGCAACAGTAAGCACGAATTTCCGTTGGAATGTTTACAGAAAACAGCAGTTTTTCCAAGAAAAAAGCAGCGCATAGTAAAAGTTCGTTGATCATCACGCAATGGAACGCATGACCGCTGAATCTCCCAAACATTTGGACGGTTTTCTTTCCGGACGCGACCCAGCACAGACACCAGCCTGCCATTCGATTATGATAGCGATAACAACGGCAGCGCATCTCATGCCACCGCACGCGAGGCACGCTGTAAATACTCAAAAAGGCAGCGACTCTAAACAGCTCCCTAAAACTTTACTGAAGAATACTTAACATATGTGGCTAAACCTAGAAAGCACGTCCGTCTGTGCACTGTGCAGCTTGACGGACCCGGGACAACACAAGGATGACTGCAGTAGTCGCTAGCGCCAGGGAGCCGGACGGAGCCGGCCTGCCACGTCTCAGAGACGCGATACGCTGTGCGGGAAGTAGACAAAGCACATAGAAGTAACCCAGGTAAGTCGTTTGGCCATTTCTTCTTCAATTTCTGCGGGCATCACGTCGCCAGGCGGCGTTAACCGATAAACAAACTAAACAGACAGACATACTGACAGAAATAGAAGCCACGGCTGGCATGGCCGGTCAGCATCGCCCTACGACGCACCGGGACAGCGCTTGACCGCCGCTGGAACCACCTACACAGGACGGTCTCTGGAAGTCGTACAGCTCCAGCCCGGCTGGTCTCCACTCTCCACTCCCCACCGACCCACCTACCCGGCCGGACAGCCGGGCGGGCGGGTCGGGCGGAGCGGTAAGGCACGCGCAGGGCCGCGCCGGCCCGCTGGACCTCTACTGGTGTGCGGACAGTGCCGATCACTCCACCTGCACCGAGGCTGGGATCGAGGTGGTGAACGAGGGCGTCTCCAGCTCCTCCCGCTTCTTCATCTTGGTGCCCTGAGGTGGCGGCGAGAGAAACATGGGTCAGCGAGAGCAGATAAAAAAAAGACGGAGGTAGAAAGAGATGCGCAGCAGGCACACACACACACACACACACAAAAAAAACAATATCATGCCAGTTATTAAGTCGTTCGTCGACGGGGGGGGCGGATATCCGCCCCCCCCCTGAGGTTTTTCGCGAATAGCGAGAAAACCGCGGCGCGTAGCGCCGCGAAATTTGGCATGACTATTCCCTTATCAATTTTACACATGGTGTGCAAGTTTGAACTAGAGTTCTGCACGGCTGCAATTTTCCACAGCCTAGCCGCCCCGCAGCCGTGGCTCCACAGCCACAGCCGCCCACAGCCGTGGCAAACTGTGGGCAGCCAGCCGTCAGCCGGCCGTGGATACTTTCAATGAAATGCAACCAAATAGTATATAATAAGTTGTTTTTAGTTGAAACATATAGCCAAAAGCACATTGCAATGGGCTATAGATTCTCAAGCTCATGAAGCATCATAGGTTAAGTGGTTGTGTATCTGGCTTTAGGCTGAAGGCCTGAAGCCTGATGCGCATCGCATGCCTACACAAGCCCTTGCAAGGGGTTAAGAAAGATGGGTAGGTAGGTACCTACTACCTACATCAACAGAAAACATAAACAACGAACCAGAATAGAAGCACTAGCAGTGTAGACATAAAATGCCAAATCCTGAAGCATGGTTGTGGGACAGAACAACAGACCCTGATGCTTTTCATTATCAATGTTAGGTACCTATGGAAAATGAACTGAAGTTGATGTGGACTGTCAAACAGTGATTGTCTTGTCAAAACTCTTGCTTCTTTCTTACCTTGCATATTTTCTGGGGTGTGATATGCCAGGCTTGAAGCAGCCTTCTGAGCAAGTCTCAAACTAATTTGATATGCAAGGCATCATCAAAACACTAGTGAGCATCCAAGAAAGAAAAACATTCATATATTTTGATTTTTCCAAATAATGATCTTCGCTCAAATCCCCAAGGACGTGCGAGCCACAATTGCCTCTTTCAATCAAAAAATTTTACTTGAGTTTTTAATGATGTCAATAGCAAAGAAGTGGCAATAAATTGTTTTGTGTCACTAAAAACAGCCATAAAAATTATAATTAATAAATAATAATGCTATACCGTTAAAAACTTGCTCTCAAACAAAGATTAATTATCAAATTGCCACATTTTCAGAAGAAGACGTCATTTGTAAAGTCAACAGCTCGCGTAAGAAATATTGTATTCAGGGTTTTCACCGTCATGTGAATTACGTGTTCAGGGTTTTCACCATCATGTGAATTAACCGTAAGTAAGGTTCATGCTCACTTATATTTTAATTCCATTGGCTTCGTTCATCAGCATTTTCTGTTAGCGGTCACTCACACACCAGTTAGAACATAAAGCGCCAGTTTTATATTATGTAATTGGACCTGCCGAAAATCCAGAAATACATCTGAGAGTTATTTTAGATAATATTTTATGAAGCATTTACCTGCCTTTACCTAGGCGTGATTTCTTTTTCTATTACCTGAAAGAATTATTGAACGCTCGTCTTCAATAGCTGTAAGGTGCTCTCCTAATGACCAGGTGAGATTGATTTGAGAGGGATGTGACAATGCAACATGCTGCATTTTCTGAAACTGTCAAGCTCTTAATGATGAAGGAACAATTGGTACCTATAATTTGCATTCTGTACCAGAGTGCAAACTTCCCTACAGCAAATGGTAAAACCATTACAGGTTTTCAAAGGCTTCACCACTTTCAATGTTGCTGGGTATCCTTTGCATGATTTTTACAGGCTAGACTGCTTATCAGAATGTAAGATTAAGGATTTAAAATGTTATATTTGAGTACTTAAGATTGAGCTTAAAATCTCACAGCCGTGGCCACAGCCGTAGCCGTGTTCTTGGAGATATTTGCAGCCGCCCCGGCCCACAGCCGTGGGGCTGCAGCCAGCCGCGGCTGCAGCCGGCCGGTGCAGACCTCTAGTTTGAACCTCCTACCTTTCAAGGTCAGGTCACCAGGTCACTTTGAATGACCCAACCTCAAGTCACTTTTTTGCAACTTTGTCACCGTGCCAGAGCTACAGTAGATGTCGGAGGCCTTTGAAAGTCGCAGGATGTTATTAGGTCATTAGTAGCTACAATTTGTATATCTCGGAATTTTGATATCGGTGACCTAAGGTCAGGTCAATTTCGCGACCTCCCCATTATAAGTCAATGGGGGAAAAATCAACTACCTGTTTTTACCACTAAAACGGGTCGGAATGGCCCCATATACCATACATGACTTCATATACGATCAACCTTCACTACCTTGAGGTCTGTTTTGCTGTTGGGCAGCTGTGAGGTCATGTGACGTCATCAAAGGTCACCAAAGGTTTTTGGCCAATAACTCCGTACAGGAACAAGATACAGACGCGTGGATGGTCTCATTGTGTTCAGCTCGTCAAGACGCATCGAATGATATACATGATGACCTCGAGGTCACGTGACCTGAGGTCAACCTTTGACCTTGACCTTTCGAGGTCAACATATATATCATTCGATGCGGATTGACGAGAGGATCACGATGATGCCCTTAGTTTGTTCCTATCTTGACTAATTCGAAAGTTATTCGAGAAAAACTCTCTCCATATTTAGCGCCGCCATTTTGACTTTTTCGACCCCTGTGACGTCATCTTTGACCTGACCTGAAAATGACCTTCGTAAAAATTGTAGATCTTGACCGTGCGTATCCGATGCCGTTTACCGCTTGTCGCTATCTTGCTTCGTTCTCGAGATCTCAGGGGGGGGCGGTCATCCGCCCCCCCCCCCCGTCGGTACTAAGTTGGCGCAGACCCCCGTCGGTGCGCGGGTTAAGTCGTTCGTCGACACAATAGGTTTTCAACCGTCAGGTAAACCTTTCACATAATAGGAAGATAGAAGGCGCTGAATTGGCGTACAACTGTCGCATTTCCTTAACTTATTAGGCACGCGTCTACTTACGAGCGAACGGTATGCACTTGATCCCTGGATAGGCAGCGTAAGCGAAACATGATCCTTGTTAGACAGTACATATGAGAAGTTACAGAAATGCAAAATCAACAGGCCCATCCCCGACACACGCAATAAAAGATGGCAGACCCGGCCGCCAGGCACAATCAGCTAGCCGCTTTGAGTCTGGCAGCTTTGAAATAATCGCCTTGAGCGGTGAGATCGAGGTTATTTTGCTACATCACGTCATTCACAATGCCCCGTGACAACGACACTGGCTTTCGTTGCATGTAGTGTCATGATGCATAGTCACCTAATGAACTTTAAACTGTTATGTGATACGGCGCGATAAATCTTTCTTGATTAAAACTTCTTATTATGCCAAACTTTCCGAGTTGCCATGCCACGTGTTAGTAACAGTTACACTGGCCTCTTGCAGTTTGTAATTACTGCAACCCTCATCAAAGATCTGCCGCAATTTATAATGTCAAAAATGATCAGCTGCAGTTTGAATAACTGTGTGTGCCAGTGAATGACCTACTGCAGCTTATAGTAGTTGATACTGTGATGTAATTTGTGATTTTAGGGCGCCCGCCCGGACTTCAGAGGTCATCGGCGCCCATTGTTGCCACTGACCTGCTGTAGCTTGTAGTGTCGTACTGTATTACTGACCTGCTGCAGCTTGTAGTGTCGTGTATCACTGACCTGACGACACTACAAGTGTATCACTGACCTGCTGCAGCTTGAAATGTCGTGTATCACTGACCTATTGCAGCTTGTAGTGGTTTTATGACTGACCTGCTGCAGCTTGTAGTGGTTGATGATGTCCTGGTGTAGTTGTAGTGTAGTTTTGTATATCACTGACCTGCTGCAGCTTGTAGTGGTTGATGATGTCCTGGTGTAGTTTGTAGTATAGTGTTGTATATCACTGACCTGCTGCAGCTTGTAGTGGTTGATGATGTCCTGGTGTAGTTTGTAGTGTAGTGTTGTATATCACTGACCTGCTGCAGCTTGTAGTGGTTGATGATGTCCTAGACGTGTAGTTTGTAGTGTAGTGTTGTATATTACTGACCTGCTGCAGCTTGTAGTGGTTGATGATGTCCTGGTGTAGTTTGTAGTGTAGTGTTGTATATCACTGACCTGCTGCAGCTTGTAGTGGTTGTGTATCACTGACCCGCTGCAGTGTGTAGTGTCGTGTATCACTGACCTACTGCAGCTTGTAGTGGTTTTACGACTGACCTGCTGCAGCTTGTAGTGGTTGATGATGTCCTAGACGTGTAGTTTGTAGTGTAGTGTTGTATATCACTGGCCTGCTGCAGCTTGTACTGGTTGATGATGTCCTGGTGTAGTTTGCAGTGTAGTTTTGTATATCACTGACCTGCTGCAGCTTGTACTGGTTGATGATGTCCTGGTGTAGTTTGCAGTGTAGTTTTGTATATCACTGACCTGCTGCAGCTTGTAGTGGTTGATGATGTCCTGGTGTAGTTTGTAGTGTAGTGTTGTATATCACTGACCTGCTGCAGCTTGTAGTGGTTGATGATGTCCTGGTCGGCCGGACACGACTGTGTGAACGCGTCCAGCAAGTACATGTGGTGCATGTAGCGCCACAGGTTCTCAAACTCGGCCGGAATCTCAAACTCTTGGAAAAACTTTCCTGCAACCAGAAACATCTGTCACCATCACATATGCCGCTGTCATTTATTGCCAGCGGCGGCTGTCGTCGCAGCAAGCTTTTACAATAAATGGCCCCGGGCCGCCGCCTCAGATTGCCGAATGAACAAATGAAAAAGACACACGACTAATGTGAAAAGATGTTTGTGATTAACAGCGATATCTGTCGAACACATGACCCAACTAACGACTGTGATTCGGCTCATGAATCACCGAATCCCCGAGTCAACAGTTCCGCACTGGAGACATCCATTGTCAGATTCATGACAAACTTGGACCGTCTGTGTCTCAGCCACCGCCGGCAGCCCATAACGTCCGGCCGAGTAACGAGACAAGGCCACTAATTTGTCGCCGTGTCTATCTGCAAAGTTTGTCATCGGACCACCGACCTGATACGCGGGTCGGCAGCGGCCGGCTCGGCACTGGCCGATAAGGGCCGCACCCGTCCGCAGCGGCGCCCCATATCACCCTGACCGCACTATAAATGCCGGGACAGCGAGTCCCACAATCTGGCCGCGGTCAGAGCAGCCGCATGACCCGGGTCGGTTTTGTCGTCTGGCGGGGTTGCAGCGACGATTTGCAACCAGCGCGGATAACAGCTTTACAGCCCGTTTGGCAACAGGCAAGAGCCATGTGCAGCTCGATAATAAACATGCACTTATGCTGAATTGTCTGCAAACATGCTATTTATTCCATTACATTGAGTGCGAGGCTGAGTGGATATGTTGGATCAACAAAGCCTTGAAAGGATGGGATGCAAATTTGAGAAATCGCGATTCAATATGCAAGTTTGTTGATTCTGGACGCCGTAATGAGGTCCGCAAATAACTCATGAAAACAGGAGCGTTATAGGTTCGTCAATACACCATCGATTTCTCATCCAGACCATCTGACCTGAATGGCTCCGTAAACTTTGGCCAGCTTTACGTCAAGGAAACACAAAGCGATCAGCAAACTGCACCGTTCCTTCCAGTCAACAAGCCTGCAATGACCCATGACGCCATAACATCCTGTGGACATTACATCGCTCAAAAATAGTTGACCGGACCGGTCACCATCGGCTCCTGGAAACACAGGCCCCAACCCAACAAACAACCAGCTATCGCAACCTTTGCCAGCCAGATCGAAGTTTAGAGCTCCTTGGATCACTTGAAATCGTATAAGCCCATTTCGTTGTGTTGCCACAATATCGCATAAACATCTTTAAAAGTTATCCACGCCATTCAAAGAGAACAAAACACTTACTCCTCGCACCACTTCTCCTGAAAATATGGAAATTACGTCAAACACCAGAGCACAAATTAGCATCCCAGATCCTTCCAAACACTATCTCTACGAGCTCTCCAACGCTCTTACCAGCCACCCGGATGTGCTGCAGCTTGGGCATCAGCTCGCAGTCGAAGCAGCAGAGCGTGTCGCCCGTCAGGAAGCGCGTCTTCTTCTGTCCGAGGTGCTCGTCAATCTTCCGCAGCACGGAGAGCAGCACCTGCTTCGAGTGGTCGTCCCCCTTCATCAGCATCAGCTTGAATTTCTGTGGGAGGGACAGCCAGTGGTTAGATACAGGTTAGAGTGTTGGGGCATTCGTGGAACGGAAACACGTCAGTCAAGATGCCCACTTTCTGGGAAAAGCTGAGATGTAATTATAATCACAGCAGCAGTGTAAAATGTCCTGTGACGGCCATGCTGGGCATTGGGCAATGTCATGGATGATAGCGACAAAATGGTCACTGGCGCGGGCCTGATAACAGCACATGAACGTACAGACCAGCGAAATGGGAGCACCGGGAACACCCATTACAGCGCCGCTCTCCGACAGAACAAAGTATGACGGACGGGCGACTTCAACGGGCGGTTGACAGCCGGTAACCACCCGTCAAACAGGCCGAGCTGCGGAGAGCGTCTACCAGCTCCCGGGACAGTCCATCAGACCACGGCGTCAGCCCGTCCCGGACCGCGGCAGACTGCTCACTCCCGGGGCGCTGCATACATCACCCGAGCTCAGGTCCAGCCGGCGCCAGTCAGCCCTGAACGGGCCCAGTCGATCCGCAGCTAGCGGCTGTCGCTCTCCGCTCGACGAGACCCGTCCCCAGCGCTCCTCCGTCTGACTGGATTAGTCCACGGAGACTGCCGATCTCAGGTCGATCCCGTCTCCGACCCTGGGCGGTCCCGGGCCAATCCCGGCCCCACATCAGTTGGGAAGCTGCGGCCGCGCTGGCCATCCGCCGGCCATCAGTCCGTTCCCGGGCCGGCGGGCCTCCTTCCGAGCGCGCTATGAGCCGCGCGCTGATCAGCCGCTCCGCTCGGCGACGGACGGCCCGATTCCAAACAGCAATGGGGCGAGACCGTGCTTACTGCACTGGCGGCCAACAATCGATGGGGGAGTCTCGGCGGCCGAGGGGACCTGGCCGCGGCACGGGCGGGTCTCGGGTGAGCCCAAGCGGCTCCTCGCGGCCGCGTTGACGCATCATTGCCGGCAACCGCTGCCAGAGGCCGCTCAGAGCCGGCGGAAGTCGTTGAACAACCCCTCGACGATCCTTTAAGGCGGCATAAGTCAGCGGCCGTCGGGCGGCGGGCCGCAGCTATATCGCGGCAAACGGCCATCACGACCCGGTCATGCGTGCCCACTGATAGGCGCCGTTAGCCGTTATCTACGTCGAAGCTTTGGCGAAGCTTTGTCCAAGTGGCTCTGTCGGTCCACTTGGCCCAAATGGCAGCCGTCATGGAAGTGAAACTGACTGCGTGGCTTCCGAAAGCCAGTAAGTCAGTTCATCTCAAGGACTGTCGGTTGTCAGTCCTCTCATAGTTTCCATGAAACAAGCACCAGCTTGAATAAAATCATACTAAGCGAAGGAGACGGGACAATTCACAGTGCAATGACAGCATCTAACAAGCTGACAGTTCGTAGAACGTACAATATAGTTACTCGGTACCAAGAAGACAGCTACACATTTCCACACAACATCCTCATCTTGTAGCCTTCATTTCATTATATACGAGCTCCTCATGCTAAGCGCCGCCCGAGTCCGATAGTCACAAAGGACAGCTAAAGGAAAAAGAGTACGATGAACATTGCAATGTTGATGAGGTTCTAGCGCTTCGAGCATGATCAAAGCTTCCTTTTATAGGGGATCAACTCCTGGATGCTGTCTAACAGTATTGGTGAAAAGTGTTGGGGAGCGAGGGCCGGACACAAATGTTAGGAAGGTGATAGCCGGACGACTGCGGTTACCGCTGTTTGTTTGTCGGGGTTTTGCGACGCGTAGACAGTGAGATTATTATGCACCCCTACGACTGTCGCTGTTTGGTTCTTGAGCCTATTTTGGAGTCATGAATAGTTATTCCCAAGGATTCACCCTTTTGATCACCAACCTATAACTGACCAGCTTTAGGATGAAATCCACACAGACGGAACAAAGGAGCATGCAGTCAACAATTGACCAACATTTGAAGCTAGACCGCAGGAAGCAAGACTCAATGAACCAGTGAAACAAGCAGAGCACGCGACGCGCCGCCGCGCCGGCCGCCCCTGCCCAGTCCAATTCAGTCGTATCTAAATAGCCAAGTTTGGAGCCATAAATTGCGGCCCGTCTGTGGCGGCCGGTCACCGAGTCCTAATTCAGCAGCATCCATCTCCGACTGACGAGATTTTTCAGCGGCCGCTGATTCACGGCGCTGAAAAGAGAAAAAGCGGCAAAATGGACACCTCGGTGAGATGGAGATAACGGATGGGGGCGACGAATTGTCATCAGGAAACATTACGGCGACATTTTTCTGGAGATGTTAACCCGAATGAATTTATGGTGTTTAAACCTAAAAGCGTACACAAAGCTGGCGTCCACTCCCACATTAGTAGCATGAAATACTGAAATAAAATACAGTGTTATCTTTTTTCAGCGAAACTGTAACAATTTTTGATAGGAGCTTGTAGTTTCATGTGCAGCCAAATAAGAAACTGCAACCGTCCCATTTCATACCAAGAAGCAGGCTCCAGGCACTCAGCTTATGTTGGTATTCAGTTACGCTCCGATGTTGGGCACCTATTCAAAATGTTGGTTGGTCAACATATCAATCGATATGTTGGCGTGGACTTCTATTGAACTTATCAACTATTGAACTATTGCATTCAAAGTCCCCTGGCCTGTGAATATTCTCATGCCATTTGTCTTCTGTAGGTCAGGCGTTTTCACCCACGTCATTCCCAAAAGAGTATCGCCCACGGCACTGAGCCAGGTGACGGCAGTCGGGGAGGGTGCGGGAGGGGGAGGGATGCAGTCGGCGGCGGCAGCAACAATACCCGTAATGGTGCTGTGTCGACCGATGTGTCATCGGGCGATCGTAATCAGCCGCAGCACGGGTCTACCGATCGGGTCGGACCGGCCCGGTGGCGGAGGGCGGGGCGATACGGAGCAGAGGCGACGGCGGCAGGGTATCGGCTCACAGGGCGGAGTCCAAAGCCAGACGACATGAATGACGCTCAGAACTCCATGGCAGCGAGAAGAACACGACAGAATCAGTAGAAGAGGATCGGTACATGGACTCCGAGCGATTGACCACGTTTTGGGTTATGGAGTTGGGCAGAAGTGCAAGAGAATCGAAAATGTGATTCAAATAATGGCAATAGCGCGGCGCAGGATAAAGTTGTCAATTAAAGAATGAGCCACCTTATTATTGAAAGATACGAGCTTTGTTATGGAATGCAAATCTCCAAGGTTTGCGCAAAAAAAAAAGATGGCCCGCACATCGCAGTGAACGGCAGGCAAGCCTAACACTGCACATGTGACACTGCCAAGCACACCGGAACACTGCAGATGTGGTCCAGGCAATCAGTCAGAGAAGTCTGGGAATCAGCCATCAGCCGACCGTCATAACATAGGTTGTGACGGTCGTCATTAGAATCTGGCGGAAAAGTTTTGGAAACGGACGACCGGAATTCGGTCCCAGCCGACCACAGTCCCCGGAAAGCGATGAGCCGAGAAAACGTCTGGCCTGGAATGAGCAATATTTTCCCCGGTTCGAGTCACCGCTGTGCTGCAACCTGCAACTGATCGCGTCCCGTTCTGGACTGAAAAACATGCATTTGAGCCATGCAAAACAGTAATTACTAAGATCAACAACTTTCGCACAAAACACGTTTGTGAGTTAACGTTTGTAAAGCCCGATCAATCAACACATCACTCTCAGCACTCCCCGACTGTCGCAACAGTTAATACCACTCACGCTGTAGACGTTCTCAATCTTGGTGGCCACCTCCTTGTCCTGGACGAACAGGTTGTGGCCGCCCGGCACGTTCTTCATTATGTGCCGCTCGATCTTCTCGTTTTCCAGCACGGCCAGCCCGTTATCCACCAGGATGGGCGGCGACGTCGCGTCAAAGTTGGACCTGCGGCGGACGGGAGAGGGGGTGAGGGGGTGTCTGGGCCGCGCTGAGTAGCTGGGCTCAGCTCATGGGTGTTACGGAGCAGCAGACAAGCCACGTCGGGAGGCAATGCAATTACGGGTGAACTCGGGGGACCTAACGAACACAAGGCTAATGGCCACCGGCTAGACAGTATTGTTATTGAATGGGGCAGAAGCGCTGCCAAATCTAGCTCCTTGGGTAAGATGGTAAGCCGTACTTTCGGCTGGTTGCAATTTCGCGTGCGCTGTATTTAAATAATCGTTAATTTTATTACATTTGATTGTGACGAACCTGTTTCGATTTTTTTCTCAGTGTCCCCAAGAAAACAAACTCTCCTTTACCACAACCATTTAAAATAACCACAACTCTTAGTTGCACTTCAACATAGCCACATAACTGACCTATGCCAGCGTACCGCACCATCGCAAGTGCTACACAAAACAGAATCAAATCACCATACATCTTCCTTGCCCTTGGCATGCTGGATCGGTAAACGAATAAAATTAAATCATAAATCGATGTTTCTGCTATTTATTAGCATCCATAATTCATCCGGACTAAATACGGCCGGCAAAGTGTTTCCGGCACGGTGTTCGGACGGGCCAATTTACGGCGTGCGCCGATTTATGTTCTCTCTCTCCGGGCGTCACCGTGCAGGAGCCGTGTGCGCCCGGCCCGGCGGTGAAATACGCCGCGTCTCTGACCACCGGGGGCCGATATTTATCGGCTCCCCGGCCACGGAGCGCCATTGTGGAGCGACTCGTCGCGACCACTCGACCGGACACTCCGTAAATTTCTGAAATTATTTCCATCCTTCATCTATATAATCTCGGCGGGCTTTGAGCTGGGCCTGGCAGCGGCCAGTGGCAGTCGATAGCTGGCCTATCTCATCAGCGGCAATGCGTCCGCGGTCCATTGGCCGGCGCGGCCGCCGCCGTACCGCGGCCGGGATATGTGCCCGATGGCGTCATCGGCGACCGCCCCGGGCGATACAGCCGTGACACTGGCCGGCCCGCTGCGCGCTATCTATTCTCGTCAGGCGCCGGCGTATCGCGGTCTGCAAACATTTCACGCCGCACACGGGGCCGTGGCAGGTATTTGCTGCCGGCAGTAGCGGCGCTATAAGTCAGCGAGCTGTCAGCGACGGGAGGTGCTCAGGGAGAAGTGCCGCCCCCCCCCCCTCTCCTCCCCGTCACCCCCTCCGCGGCCCACCGGCTGTTGGCTATCGCTCGGCTCCGGCGCAGCGATTCCGGCGTCGAATGCCCCGCGGCGGAATGGGGTCACGTCTGCTGGTGACTGCCCGAGGCTATTCGAGGCCGCTGCAGAACCTTCGTCGGCAGAGGCGTCTCCCATGACTGCCACGGAGATCCATTGTCTGAGCAATACGACTGTCTCAAACACTAGACAGTAAAGTGCAGAAGAGTGCCGCTAAGGGTCAGGTAATAGGCTGGAGGCATTGGCCACATTTTTGCGGTATCAATGGGAACACATATAATCAAGGTTCAATGCTTGTCTGGAATGTGAGTCACAGTTCAAGACAGCAGAAATTGACAATATCCAGCATATTTTCACAAGTGGCAGGAGGCAAAGAATAATGCTAGTGCACAAGATCTTTCGGTTTCAAAACCGAAATGTGTCCGTTCAAGTGCAGCATCAGTGAGGTGCACAACACGAACCATCCAGACACAGCAGAATTTTCAGCGACCTTAGCCCTCAGCCTTTTTCGCGAGCCTGATTCTGTCAGATAAACGTTCTCCGATAAATTTCAATCATCTAAACCAGCCAACAGATCACATAACCCCATCTGAGCCATACATTTCAGCCAAGCAGCCGTTTCAGATTGGCGGCGCCGCGGTAGACAGCCGAGTCTGCCTATCACCGCCCAGCAGAAACCATCGCCTTCCTCCAACATTCGCACCGTCCAGTAGCGGGCCGGCCATCCACCAACCAAACGACTGATTTGTGATCCTCACACTCACACTAAAGCGACACGGGCTCTCTTTTCGCAGCGGGGGATCGCAAACGTCCGAACGATAACCCGTACCAACGACAGCCGAAATCCCTTCGCGCTCCCTCTGATCCGGTCGCAGCACCTCCTTCAATCCGGGCCAGATCAGCAGGTGTGACGTCAGCACGGATGACGTCAGCAGGTGACGTCACCGGGGCGACAGACCGTGCACGGCGCGGGGTGACAGGTCCATGCATATGGTGGCGGCGCGGATTACCGGCCACGATTACAGCTCTGCTGCGGCGGGACCCCGGCCCCCGGCAGAGATACATGACCTGTCGAGCGGCGGCCGGCGCGAGCGGAGCCTGTCAGTGGCACCCGACCGCTCTCTCTCGGCCTCGCCCGCTCTCCCAGCAGCAGCCCTCTCCTTCTGGCAGACTCGTTACCCTCACAGCCCAACCTCCCCCTCCCCACGCTGTCCCAGGCCCATGCGGTTTATTGAACCAGAGATGGCGAACTGAGCCAGTGGTTCCACGACTCCTAAACCATATGAAAGCCTTCTCCGAACGGGTACACATCAAAACCGGCGCTGCGAAGCGGTTGCATTTATGCTTAATATGCATGAAAATCATGAGCTCTAAACAGACAGCCGGATGCAGTAACCATTCACCATTTTCGAGGATAGCAATCCGCTTCTTTTGAGCGTTCGGGAAACTTATTGAATTGAACTATCATGGCCTATGATAGCAATCGGTAGAGCTTGAGAGCATTTTGGCAAAACATTCGCTCATCGATGCTCTTAATCTATCTTAGCGTTGATTGTTATTTGTGAAGCATTCAGCGCAGCTTAGATACTAGATAAGTCTGATGGGTAGGTATGCAAGTCTCATGAAAAAGCAGCTGATTTACACCTAAGGAGCGAACTAAAATGTCATTGATCCTGGTAAGCGAGATAAGAACTTTGGTAAACTAAAACACAAACTTTGCTTTTGGTTTCATGGGGTTACCATTCATCATTTTGAGGAACCTCAGACCCTTATTGATCTTTTACACATGACAATTGCCCACATATCATGTTCGTTCTCAGAAAAATACGATGCTAACACAGGACGCGAAACGCTCCAGACGGAGACCCCATGGCAGCTATGAAATATGTCACCCATTCTCTGATACAGACATGACAACTAGGTGTTGTGAATGTTTCCATTTCATGCATAAGTGATCAGATTAGGGCGCATCCATCAACCCGGGGATGCTGTTGCTCCATGGGCCACCGTCCCGAGTAAGCTCGCCCTGCTGAATGGGGCCCGCCAGAGCGAAAGCGAATGCAAACCAGGCGCTGCAGTAGCTCGGGAACAGCAGACGAGAGGCAATTCGTGGTGGTCGCGACGGTGGAACACCGGGCGCTATGACTGCCAACGAGGTCGTCTGACGCCCTGCGGTTAGTCGTCTCCGGCAGTGGGGCAGGAGATCCTGTTGACTGACCCCATTGTACTGTCGGGGACCCATGTAAGCATATTGAGGAGAGAGATAAATTATTGAAACTTGCTTTGTTTTTCTTGATAATGAATGTTGAGTAATTTGTGCCAGAACAAAGAAATTAATGCTTTGTACATTATTGATTTACCAAAGATGTGGTAAACTTCGACAAAAATTTCCATCTCAGACGACACGAACTGCCGAGACACGGGATAAATAAGGGAAGGGATATCGATGGCTGTCGAATGAGAAGTTCGCTCCCGTGCCTTCAGCATTACGAAAAATGGAAACAACCCGTGAGCAGCATCAGCTGCTCACGTATATGTTCAAGGAAAACAACATGTAATAGACTGCTGACGACGGCCCTCTCCACCAATCAGCGCTCGGCATCTCGAGCGCTGATTGGCTGGTAGGAAACGCGTCATATGTGGGTCTCATTTTTTGCTATCAGTGAACGCGTTATTTAATACACAGTGGTCTATGGAGAATGGCACGCGGAATTGAAGGTCAGTGTTTTATTGCCTCGTACATGCGAATGGAGGTACTTGAGTGGCATTTGACACCATTTTCGAAATCTACAGTGAATTTCTGATCGATTCATGTATATATTTTTATGAATTTGACAGTATTAGTGCTACATAGTCGGTGTTTTATGTTGGTGTTGTTTCTCTCGACCTTTGTCTTGGACTTTGATCATATCTTTTCTCGAAAATGCTTGCCATAACCAGGTCTAAACTATATCTGTATAAAGGGAATATGTGTTGAATATGAGGAGAAAGTAATAATGACCATTCTGCCTATCAAACTGCCAGAAGGTGTGCTTGTAAGGTGATTGAAACTGCAGTACGGGTTGCAGATGTGGGTTTGACATCAGCATTGTTGTTGTACCCCACTTGCTCTAATAAAATGGCAACATGGGGTTATGTACACACTATTGCACAGCCTGGTATCAAGCTGGTTGATATGTGGAGGATAATGAAAGCATAAAAACCTTTATTAAGTGAATAGGAGCGTTGCGTCTTGTGACTTGTCAAGGCATTTTAAATCAAATGATTGTGATTGTAACTTTTACTTCAATTATTATTGCAAGTTTTGACCTTTTTAATCATCAAGTTTTATGTGCACCAATTTCATATCCCTGTGTAATGTCTGTGCGGCTTTGTGCAGTGCGCGTGTCTTGAAAAAAAACAACCAATTTATTTTGTACCTTTTTGTACTTCATGTATGTCAAAATGTATGTCAAAGGACAAAAATGTCATGTCTATTATCATTGACACTACTACAGCTAACTTTGCCTGTATTCCTATCTTTCAGAGGCATTCAATTCAATCTGCTTTCCAGTGCAGTACCCAGGAGGCTGCAACTGAAACTCGCACAAAGGCAATCAAGTGTCACTTCATCAGCCTGCAGCAACAGCCCATCTGTAATCAAGATATGGATGAAGTGGCATAGAAGAACAACCAGTTCAAACATGAAAAGATGTATTTTGTTTTGGACTATTTCTTAGCATAACAGAACAGCACACTTGCTGCTTTTTATGTTTGCCCTGTGTGCAGTTTTGAATAATTTTAACTATGAAATGCTTTTGCCAACTCTTCTCTTTACATAAGCTTTCTTTGTCATGCATGTGTAATTTTGAGTTTACATGCATGATGTAGGCATAGGTATTTCCCTTGGCTTCATAAAACTACTTTGCAAGCTTTTGTTATGGACATTGGTGCTTCCTCAGATGTGTCCAGTAGTTGATGAAGGGAGAAGAGGAGTAGGACAGCTGATAGCTATTACCAAAAATATGTGCTTGTCTGCACTTCGGGCTGTTCCATCATATGCAACCTCTATTTACTTTGAGTTAAAAACACCTCTTCTTTTGATTCTTTCCTGTGTGGCCATTGTTTCCGTGGTGCTATAAACGTCAAGTTTGAAGTTGGTATCCAAGTGAGCAAAATGTGCATTATTTCAGTCCGTCTTGAATCATTCGTCTTGAATTATATCCCTAACTGACATCCTGTTATTTGTCCTGCAATGTCTGTGCCTGTGTCCGCCCTTACCTCCGTCTCCAGCCTCCAACCAGCCCTGCTGAGCTCTGTCGCCGGCGCGGTGTGTCGCAACGTGCTGTTTCTCCACTTCAGCCGACAGCTGCTAGGAATCGTCCTGTGCCACGCGCCATGCGACACAGCAATTGTAAGCTGCAGGTCACATTCGGACTAATTGGCTCCGCATATGTGCATCCGGCCGAGTGCTAGTCGATATCAGGGACGTTGGTCGGACTGTTGTGGCGGCGTGCATTGTGCTGGTTGAAGTTGTTGTATTTCTGTTAGTGAAAAGCATTAATGCATAACCATGGCCGCAGCCCAATGTTATTGTGGATTTCAGAGGGAGTGGCCAGTCAGGAGGGCCCCATGTGGGTATGGATCCAGTGTCCAGTGGGATTGGCTAAGATTTCCGGCGATTGATAAACGCTTCTATGATTGTACACCTAGTCCTATTGAGTTATGAGGGGAGGTGACGTGAGGGACCTGACCTTACTAAACTCTTGTGAAAACACGATACATACGAACGGTAAGAAACCGACAGCCATTCTTTCCGCCAAGTATCATCTTTCTGTGAAGGATTTCTTGGCACTGAGTGCTTAGAAATTGCGTTGTTTTTGGACTATGTAGAGGCTCACGAGCGACAACTTAGCTCAACAACCTTACGTACCTTAAATATGCGACTTGTACCAGAAGATCCAGCTTGATCAAAAGATTGGACATGTCAAATTTCAGCTCTTTAGCTCAAAAGAATTTTGAGCTGTCGTAAAAACCGTCAGTGTGGCACCATATCGCCTCCCCGCGCGGTCGGAAGGTAAAAGTTCGCCGGCTCTAACTAAACAAATAGTCGTCGTATCGCAAATTCATTGACGGCGTTCGAAGCGTCGTTCAATTTACTTTCGAAACATATCCTAACATTAACATTTAACTGCCTAGCGCAATCTCCAACAAGCAAAAGTTCCGTGCATTCATCCTCATACAGTGTTAGCGGCCGCCGGCCGCCGGCCGCTGACCCACATTCGCGTCATCAGGAATGCCGCAACTAATTTATTGTTTCCAACTTTTTTCCCGGAGCGTTCTACCTGGTTTATATAGCCTTGATGAGAAGTCTACGAAAAACTTTATATGAGACCTTCGTGAACCAGTATAGCGCCTTTTGGGGCGACTAACGGAGCGAGCGAGGGGGTGAGTCTTGCACGTGCGAAATTTCGAGGGGGTACCTCCAACTGACTTATGCACGGCACTCTACTGACCGGTTTCTAGCGATGTGCCAAATTTGAGCACAATCGGCCCAGCCGTTCTCGAGATCTGGGAGCGGCACCCTGCACGTGCGCACGTGCAAAATGGGTCCCAACTGACTTGTGCACGGCACCCTACTAACCGGTCCCTAACTGTGTACCAAATTTGAGCGCAATCGGTCGAGCCGTTCTCGAGATCTGGAAACGACCCCTGCACGTGCGCACGTGCAGCAGCACCCCAACTCTGGCACATGGATATGCAGTGCCTAGTGGGTGCCTACCTACATGCCAACTTTCAGCGCAATCGGCCAAGTAGTTACCGAGATATCGCAACAATTACAAAAGTGACACCTCTTCGTTTTGCACGTGGCACGTGCATAAGGGGTCACCCACATGCATCGGGAATAGTCCAATACTTGGTAGAAGGAATGAAGCTACCCTACAAAATTTACCGCATGTAAATCGGTCAAGTGGTTGCTGAGATATAAGCCTCGCAAAAGCGTCCGCACGGCCGGCCGGCCGGCCGGCCGGCCGGCCGCTCATACTCAGAAATTTCCGTTAATCTAAGGAAAGACTTCGCTCGCTTCGCTCGCCCCGTAATGACATCTGGCACCCAGTGCATAACGACAAAATAACGTTTCAGAGCCCTAACGACATTACAAATGCCATAGCCAGCTGTTTTGATGGATCCAGAGAGTTAGTTTCGGAAAGCGTTTCCATGGAAGTTCAAGTCAGGGGCTATCAGCTTCCATTGGCAATGCAATATTCCTACATTTGGACCCAAAAGTAGTAAAAAATAAACCCTGATCACTCCAAGTTTACTGAGGCCAGGGCGTTCCTACAGAAACTAACCTCAAATACGGGCTACTTGAAGCACTTCGACAAGTCAGAATTGTTCCCTCTCTTTTGCGCAGCTCATGTCCCATATATTATGTTTCAACAGCCCCTAATCTAGGAAAGCATGCACCTATTCATGTCAACGTCCTCAAGCCCCTACCAATCACACACCACCATCATGTTTTTTTTTTGGGGGGGGGGGGTTAGGCCCTTTCGGTCCAATTAGACCATTTCAGAGCCGGGAGGATGATAGGAATTAGGGGGAGGCATTGGTCTGGGCAGGCACCTGAGTGAGTCACCGGGGCTGAGCGCGTCCAGAGGACAGGCCACCCAGACCCAAGGTACTCACTGCACCCGGCTACGGGGTGCGCTCCCTTGGGAGCAACGGTGCCGCTCCAAGGGAGCAGCCCGCATGAGATAACGTTGCCTGTCCGGCCCGGAGGGGGTTGTGGTGCGGAGAAGGATTTCTGTATTCTGAGGATGGAATGACGGAACGGTGTGACCAGCATCACCAACTTGTATGTGTCAATCTGTCCTCTAGCGGTCGACTGAGCAACTAAAGCTTCGATCCCCGGAGTACGAGTCGCACCGCCCTCTGGCAGCCGACCGCGCAACCAAAGCTTCCGTACCTGAAGTCTGGTGGCGGTTTGAGCATGTCAACGGTGGTGACTTTCAGCGAGATGGTCTTCAGCTCGGCCAGCAGGTACAGGTCCATGAAGTACTCCTGGCAGAACAGGCACGCGCCCTTCCTCCGGCCATCGATGGTCGACGCCTGAAACAGAACAGGGGCTGGTGAGATTGAGACAACTAACAAGGACCGTACATATAACAGCTGCCTACGTAGAGGGCAGCACCGGTAAGCACTTACGACCGGCTGCGGCCTCAGCTGGTCTGAGCTCAGCTTTGGAATAGAGGAAGACGGGTGGAGAAGGGGAAGACAGGTGGATATAGAAAGGGATAGAGGGAGGAGGACATGAAGTAGGTGAGAGAGAGGAAAGGAAAGAGAGGAAGAGAGCAGAGAAAACGGAGGGAGAGGAGAGGGAGAGGCCGAGAGGGAGAGGGAGAGAGATGATCGTTCTTTACTTTTGCATGACCTCCTGGGATTTAGTTTGCATGGCTGCAAACCAATTTGCGCTCGTTGTGTATGTCATCGCGTTCGCGTGATGACTGCGAAGTGCAGAATGACCATGGCCAAAAGTTCCCTTGGAAAGCAGAACACAGTGAGGACAGCAGGTTCACTTGCTGTTGCCACTTGCCATTGTTGCTGCTGCACTCCACGGTCCTCAGTCCTGATACCACATTTTGAACAGCTAAGAGCGCTGAACAATAACGTATGTCAAGACAAAACACCTAATGCATCATAACAGGCACATTAGATGTCAAACTCAATAACATGCACTTGAAATCGGTGAAAAAGGCACAGTTAGCTACTGCCGATATTTAAGAGGAAAGGTACCACTAAAATCGGCGGTAGCCAGCGCCATAAACTGCATACAGCGGCCGCGGTAGCAACAAGATCTGCCAACTGCTGAGAGCGGCTCACTATCTCAAAAGGCTAGACCATCTGTTTTACCCTCCCCTCCCCACCCGTCACCCCCTTCCCTTTCATCATCCACCCCCACCCACAACGAATGCCTTTATCACGTTCAGCACAGCCAGACTATCGTCCCTGGTCGTACTTCGTCAGCCCTCCGGAGGAACTGCACGTTAAGCTGAGTCACGTCTAATCAGACGCACCACATTCCGAGCCCAGGCGGCGGGCCTGATAGGAGGTCCTACCACACACGCCCAGTCAGACATCTGTACTGAGCACAACACACAGCTCGTTCCCATGCTGTTTGCTGGACAAGAAAAAGTGCAGAAGCATTTGTATCGAATCAACTGTGCCCTCGGACAACAAGGGTCGCTGGACGGTTGCAAAGTTTGTGGGTAGCATGCGTAGGAAGCAGGAGTGCAAGAAACAGAGCGAAAGGGAGATGAAGGGGAGAGAGACAGAACGAAGGGGGAGAGAGAGAGGGAGAGAGAAAAGCGAAAGGGAGAGGGAGGGCAAAGTAGAGAGAAAGGGAGGGGAGGGAGAGGCGCACAGTGTGGGACTGTGAATCAGATTCCTGCAATCTTGACTGTCTGACAGTAGATACAAACAAAAGAAAAATGCGTGGCTTTGACATTTGGTGCATCAAATTAATAACGCCTTGAGAGCATAAGCAATTATGTTGTCATTCATCAATAAGCACTATTTGTTTCCGGCTGATCATTTTCTATATTAATTTTAATTTATAGTTAACATTTCATAGAGTGACAAGCACAATATATCACACAGAAAAACCATGGGACGTCAAACGCTAGCTCTAAGAAAAATTAAGGTACACTAACCCTAAAGCTTGCACCGCCGTGCATACGTGTGATTATCTCAAATACCGTATGCATACGGGTGATTATCTGCAACACCGTATGCATACGTGTGATTATCTCCAACACCGTACCCTACCGGTACTTGAACGTGCTGTGTGCAGCTTCCATGCTCGCGGTTTTCCTTCGAGCAGAGAGATAAGGAAATTCACCGTAGCGTAGGTTGAAGACTTCGGTGTCCGTGCAAGGAAGTACTCGTTCTAGCCAAGCCGTTTCAGCGATAACCATAAAACCTGCCAATCCCACCATCACATCCTGTTTGAGGGAGATAAGGCCACGAATAAGACACGCCACCTCGGCCTAGCCGTGCACCCAAGACATGACTCAACTATCTAGCCAGTAACACCCCTATCACCTGCGGAATCACACCAAATCCACACCGAACCGTATCAAGGCACCCACACACAGTACATAATCGACGCCGAGTAGCGCCCAACTGAAGTGTGCCAAAATCTGGGCCAAACGTGCTTGGCGTGTAAGCACACACGAGGCAAAAACACGAGCGCATGCCGTGTGGGTGCTTACTCGCCGCGAGGTACGCACGGCTTAGTGCAAACGGTGACAGCAAAGGTAAACATCAATCAGCTAGGCATGGTAAATCGTTCAAATCATGTATCAATTCAACAGTCCAAAGGTGCATGCCCTGAGCCCATGGTTCACTGGATATACAAACAGCATCGACGCAATGAAGGTGACACAAATGATCAGGGAAATACTGAAAGTTAGTTCACAGTTTTGTTCATATCACAATAGGATATGAATCATTGTGTTCGTGGGCATATTCAGTTTTTGAGTGGTATTTAACCATCCACGGACACAACAGCAAACTTAACGGACTGCAAGGTAATAGCAAATGCTCTGCCAGTGATGCGTTAATTCTCCAGGCCGTCAGACCGGTAGGCACATTCTCCCCAGCAACGCCGCTGTTTTCTCGGCAGGCCATTCTGGGCCTGTCTTATAGCCATTTAATGCTGGCACGGCCACTGAGCCAAGACGATCGTTTGTCGTGGAGTCTGGAGCACTCTGGTTCACTGTGCTAGGACGCGGCAAATTTTCAGAGTTAAAGAATCATTATACATTGACTTCTGCCTTGAACGGCACTTGAGCAGGGGACTTTCAAAGCAGCTATCGGTGCACATATTCACGACAGTCCGGGACCGCCTGACCACTCAACCTTTGCCCCGTGGCATTAAAAGGAACTTGCACAGATCACGGTGCCACAGATCGAGGGTGATTATCACACTCGGCCTCAAGTGCCTCAGCCTGCTCACCAGCCAACACCTCATCATGTCCCTCCCTCTAAGCACGCACACGTGTCTGGCAAATGACGCCCTGAGGCGTGGCGAAGGACCAAGAACCACGACACTCTGAGGGGGACGGCACGCACGCCATCGCTCACTCAGGAGGCAGTCACGAGGCCTTGACACGGCGGCACCGGAAGCGGAGACTTCCGGTCGGCAGGTACCAACAACAGATGGAATGACGGGCAATACGGGGAGCCGGTAGTGGCATAACATATCAGCAAGAGGCAAGTCCAGCATTAGCGAATTTCAAGAGTTCCCAGCCATAATACATCCCGAGATTGTACCTACAGCATTGGTTCTGAGAAGTGGGTGCTCCTTAGATTATTCCGCAAACATGAGGGGCCTTCCCAATTTTCCGACCTCATTGACCTATGCATGAGTGATGGTGCTTCAAGTAGACAATGACATCAAACATCCATCAAAAGGCGTCGTGTTTTAGCTGGGTGCGGCTGATACTGTATCTGTGATAGCTTTCGATACCTCGCCGATACCCTGCAACCGCAGCGGGAGCACAAGTCCCACATCCCTGCCCAGCTGCCGCAACCGTGCTGTGACCTCACAACTAACCTCGCAGCATAAGACGATTCGTAGGGCCGAGTTCAGGTCGATCGGACTCCAGCCAGACTGAATAACAAATTGGGCAGTCACTATGCTCATTCTTCTGACCATGAGGTGATGTAAATTTTATCCAAAAGGCTTACTTCACTCCACATTCAGGCTTAATGTTGCAGATCAAATAACTAATGTTTGGCTCGATTCACGCCAGAATGAGTAAATCACAGGTGTTCACAATATCATGTGATGTAATGGCGTGAATTTGAAGCCAATGAGGCATATGTCAGGCTATAATTTAGCTTATTTGTACCAAGCATGCTGAATAGTCCCAGCTTATAGGGTGAAACACACAATGGCAGAATGAACGCGGCGTGTTCTGAATAAGAATTCAGGAGAACTTACTCCCAAACCATCTAAGAAATACAAAATACTGGTCAAGTGTTCATTGGCGTCAGTCATATCGCACACTGCACCAAAACCCCAGGTCACGATGATGGAAGAAGACCGTTATGAAGCTGATCGGTCGGCAAGGACTGCGTGGAGCCGAGGTAGCGGTAGCGCCGCCGTCAGCTGACTCGGTCGCGTCACGTGCCTCTCCGCCCCCGCCCCCGCCCGGTGAGCGGCAGTGGAGGTGCGGCGCAGCGCCCGTTCAACGATAGGGACACGAGATAGCACCTGAGGGCGCCTGCAGCCACTGAAGCCCTTTAACAATACCCACTTCAACAGAGAAAATACGGTTTAAATACGACACGATCAAAGTTCGAGCGAGCAATCGTCTAACCCGAGCAGTGCACAAGGCAGAAGTATGTGCCAACTGCCAGCCTACATTGCCAGCAGCCAAGTGCAGCGCTGCCATTTTCACGCTCGACACGATTGTCGTGGTGCTCCTGCAGCTACTGTCCACGTCGTTCCACGGTTCTCACTGCGCAGGCTTTACTGTGGCTGCAGACAAAACTAGCCGAAATGTCGCCAAACATTAGCCAGTAGCGCGGAGAGCTGAGCGGCAGTTTCCTCATCCCACCCCGATAGCAAACACGTGAGCTTTCACCCGCCGCCGACCCCAGAGCTGGTGACTAAGAGAACCCACCCCCACCGAGTGTGCCCCGTCACCCCGACACTCGAACCAGCCTCGCCCGGCGGGGCACACAAACGCCCGGTAAAAAAGGCGGAGCGTGGTGCCCCATACACCGCGCCGCTCTCCCATACTCCAGCTCCACCGCTTGTCGCAGCCAGCAGCGCACCGATCCAAGGACGCACCACAGCAACGAACGGCGCATGGCCGGCGTATTCGGCGCCCCGCGAGCGCTGCGCATACATAGCACATTGCGCTACCGCATGACGGACGAGCGAGAGAAAGAGAAGAGAGAACGGCAGCGAGCCGCCGCTCGCTCTGCCCGTCCTTTCACCGTCGTTACTGCTGTGTCGGTAGTCTGACACTCACTACCAGCGCCACAGAGCATGGCTCGGCCAGCTGGCAGGCGAGAGAGCCGGCTAGAAGCAGAGA